GACGTGTCTGCGTTGCGCGCAACTGATCGCTCGGGCGTCGACGCTGTTTGGATAATTCGAAAGGGTGACGGAAAACCGCACGAGCGACGACAGAAGGATAGGAAGCGGCTCGGACGAGACGGTAACGCAAAACATTCACGAAAATAAATCGACAATTTAATCGAAACGCGACCAAGAATCCCATCAACGTGGGAGGGACGGGGTTTGGGGGTGGGGGTGTTTAATTGGTACAGTACAACGAGTTTGTAAAAACGAAGTGGTGGCTCCCACTGGGTTAAATAAAGGACGTGTATTGTGTGTCTGCAGGCGTGGAGCGGTGGCACAGTGATTTCGCGCACTGCGCAAATTGCACCCGTTGGCCTGAGCTCGATTCCCGGCTAAGGCTATGACGTCCATGGTGAGTTAAATCTGTACCAGGCCTTGTCCGTCCCCTCTCTATCTCTCTCTCTCTGTGTGCCTCTTTTATCTGACCCGCTCTGCCCAGCGTAGCGAAGTTTTGTTAAAAAAGGAGAGAGAACAAAAAAGGAACCCACGACCGACACGACGATTGGAAGCAGGCCCTAACAACCCAGCAGTGGATGGACTAAAGAGGATTATAAATTATAATGGTGGGCAAGCACAATTTCATTTTTTTTTATCAATCTCGTACAGGACTGGAGTTGTGTTTTTTTTCTGTACCTTTTTAACAAATGAAATTGAATGGAATGCATTTGCGTCGCCAGGGGTATACGTAGAGATTGAGCCAAATTCCTGTAACTATTATTTATATGGCTGTCCCATGATGTGGTGTAATTGACCCGAAAGGTAATTAGGCAGGAGTGCCACAGATGGGCACACATAACTCACCGGGACATATCATGATCACGATTTCACAAACCTCAGCAGGGTTTTTGTGCCTGGACAAAGTGCCCAGGGCTGGCACAGCGTGTTGCCATCGGCTGCTGCGGTACAGAAAAATCAGTTGTTTTACTGTACGTATATGTGCCCACCCCACCCAAGACACAATTTGGTGACCCAACAACGTGGTGAACTATGGTCAAGTGGACCCCCCCCCCACCCCAATGATTAGCACGGTGAGGGGAGGCCCTCATCCAGCAGTGGATGGACTCAATGGCTGTGCACGTGCTATTAGCGAGCGCCTATTAAGGCTCGGCACGGCGCGCAAGCGTGGACGCGTGGCCCGGAACCGCGCCCAGCCACCTCTGGCCACCCCAACGTGCTGACTGTTTTATGCACACCGCACCAGGTACTCATTTGAGGCTGAGTTAACCTAGGGGAAGGAAGTCCAGTTCCGGGTTCAGATATCACGAGGGGGCATAACTCGGAGCCGGGTTCTACGTAATTGCAATGCGCTAACCACTGCGCCACCGCTCCCCACACACACACACAAAGACAAAGATCCCCCAAAAGCCTTAACAGACTGTTGGGGCAAGTGCTGCTAGCGAGCACCTATGAAGGTCGGCACGGCACGCGAGGGGGTGGGTGACCAACACCACGCCCGGCCGCCTTTGTCTCCCCAGCGGCGATGTTTTACACATCGCACCAGGTACTCATTTGAGGCTGAGTCGACCTAGGGGAGGCCAAGGACCGGTACAGATAATCGTCACTGGGTGTTGGCCGATTCGAACTCGGGTCGCCGGGTTCGTAGCGCACACACAGACACACACACGCACACACTTTTATCGGAACGCCAGATCTCTGTCTTCGTGTGCGTGCGTGCGTGCGAGGTGTACATTTACAGAGAGCAGGTGCTCACCTCAAGAGAGGCCGTAGGGGGAAAGCGCTGTTCGCGAGCACCTATTAGTGCCGGAACGGAGCCCCCGGTGGGGAGGGGTAGGAGAGTGCGTGGAGGGGAGTGGGATGAGAGGGAGAGGTAGGAGAGTGTGTGGAGTGGAGTGAGATGAGAGGGGAGAGGTAGGAGAGTGCGTGGAGGGGAGTGGAGTGAGATGAGAGGGGAGAGGTAGGAGAGTGCGTGGAGGGGAGTGGAGTGAGATGAGAGGGGAGAGTTGGAGAGTGCGTGGAGGGGAGTGGAGTGAGATGAGAGGGGAGAGGTAGGAGAGTGCGTGGAGGGGAGTGGAGTGAGATGAGAGGGGAGAGGTAGGAGAGTGTGTGGAGGGGAGTGGAGTGAGGGGAGAGGGGAGAGGTAGGAGAGTGCGTGGAGGGGAGTGGAGTGAGATGAGAGGGGAGAGTTGGAGAGTGCGTGGAGGGGAGTGGAGTGAGATGAGAGGGGAGAGGTAGGAGAGTGTGTGGAGGGGAGTGGAGTGAGGTGAGAGAGTTAGGAGGACGCGAAGGGGAGGTGTGGATATAACCACTCCAGGCCGCCTTTGTCTCCCCCGTGCCGATGTTTTACAACACCGCACCGGATACTATTTGACGGCTGCGAGCAATGACGTTGTGGTCATGGTCAGGAGCGGTCCCTCCACATCGATGCGGAGTCGAACTCAGGTCGCAGGATGCGTAGCAACGCAATGCGCTGCAGACCACTCCACCACAGCCCCGCCCGCCCTCCCCACAGTCGCTGCACTCGCCTCATCGCAAGAGGTTCACGGGTTCGAATTCCAGCGGCCGCCCTGGTTATTGCCGGGCGCTGGATGTGCCGGCTACTCGGTTCGCGTTCAAGATCCCGTGACTTCGTTCGAAAACAGTGGGACCATTGTGTCCAAGAATAACCTTGGCAAATGATTCCATTGGACTGTTGTGCGGATATCTATGGGACCCCTTTTTTGTTGTCAGTATCAAAATGATGGGAGAACCAAAACAATTGTATTTATTTATAACCCTCTAATTATTTTACATTGCAAACAACGCCACCCCCCATTCGCCCCCCACTGCGAAAACCTGGCAGGACCCGCCTGATAGAATAGTTCATGCCACTCAAGTGAGGTTTTCCCTGGGTAAGTGTAAACATGGAGTGGTAATAATGCTGCATAAACCACGCACATCAAGAGGGGGGGGGGGGCGGCGGCGCAGTGGTTAGCTCTCACTTTCGTTCCGAACTCTGGCCACTTGAGTTCAGTTCTAAGGGGCACGGCTAACGTCAGTGGCGAGTGAATATCTAAACCGGCACTGGGCTGCACCCCCCCCCCCCCGTAACTGCCCAGCGTGGTGAAGTATGGTCAAACAAAAAACAACAGCAACCCCATGACCGACACGACACGGGGAGGCCTTCCAACCCAGCGGTGGATTGACAAAGGCCTGTACATTATTATCGTTGTTGTTGTTGTTGTCGTTATCGTTATTGATGAACGCGTGTGAATGTGGCCGATAGGGATAACGACGCTGTGGCATCCAAGCAACATGGGTCCGACAGGAGCCAGGGTTTTCAGGTAAGGGGTGGGGGTGCAACCCCTCCAGCAATGAGAAATGATAGAGGAGTTGTTAGTAAGTAAGGAGTTGTTAGTAATAAGTGAGGACTTGTCCCTTGATTTTTATTCGACGCGTGTGCGGCGATGGCGCAGCCATCGATCGAAGGGTCGCGTGGTGTGATCGGCATCGCGCTCGCTGAAGGTGTCGATGCCTTCAGGGAAGTCGTGAACTCTGTATACACGCAACTGCGCACAATTCTGTGAGTCGCTTATAACCGCTTTGCCGTTACTTATTTCCAATTATGGACTCGGACTATTGTCCTATCATCTCACAGAGCCCCTGGCACATAATAATAATGTGCTACACAGTGGCAGTGGGGGTCGCAAAATGCCGATTTATTACTAATAAACCCCAATGATCCGATCGAAATTAGGGATTTAGATCGGATCATTTGGGGGGGGGGGGGGGGGCACGTGCCACCCCACCTCCCACTGGCTCTGTCAGTGCATCGACGATAAGGAGCGGACGAAATAGCAGGTTTGGGGAGGAGGCCTTCATCCAGCAGTGGATCGATCACGGCCACGACATTAAACGCCGCACGTGTACACCGTATTCTTCGCATTACATGACGGACACCGAATGTGTGCCCGGTGACAATAAGGAGTTGTGCAGATCTGGTCTCACACAACAACAACCGCCATACGCCACTAAGTGTCGGTCACGTCGCCACGGCGCTCGTGCCAGGCTAGGTGCACGTTAAGGCCACGTGAGGTGTCGAACGCCCGCTGACAGGAGGTCACAGGACAGCCGACTGACTGAGACGACTGGCCATCTGTGTCCCCTGCTGTGCCACACACACAAGCACGCACCTACAGGATTATAAGGCGCACTTCGAACTTTTGATGTAAAAACGTGGTTGGGGGGGGGGAAGTCTTATAATCTGGAGAATACGAACATTTTTTAGACACGTGTCGAGTCGTTTCAGAACCGGTCTTTTAAGTGGACTCAGCATTAAAATGAGTGCATGGTGCAGTAGGTGTATGTCGAACTTCTTTCGCACCGCATGGATCCACCCGTGCTAAGCGAAGGTGCGTAAAAACGTCAGCGCTGGGAAGACAAAGGCGGCCGGGCGCGATGCTGGTCACACTACCACCACCATGTCCACGAAGCGCGTACATCCCTTTGGTGTATCCACTGCTGGACGAGGACCTCTCCGCGCCACGCGAGTCGTCTGCAATATTTGGCATCTATCATTAATTTATTCTCTGTCTCTCTCATTCCCCATCTCATTCACTTATTCCTTCTGACCCTGTCCATCTCCTTCCCTCTCTCCGTCTCCCATTCACTCCTCTCCCGTGCGCACTCCTCCTCTCTGTCCTCCTCAGCACTGCGCAGTTCTCCCCTCTCCGACTCCCTCCATCTCTTGCTACTCATTTCTCTCTCCTACCTCTCTCCCACTCATCTCCCCGCTCCTTCCTATCCCTTCCTATCCCTTGCTCTCCCACCATCCATCTTCCCTTCTTTCTCCCTCCAACTCCCCCATTCTCTCCCACCATCCATATCTCTCCCCTGCCAACCCACCGCTCTCCCCTATCTCCACCTCCCTCTCCTCCGTCTCCCCATTTCACCCATCCCTCTCGTCCTTCGCTCTCCCCCCCCCTACCCTCTCTTCCCCTCTCCTCTGTCTCCCCATCTCACACCCTCTCACCCCATCCCTCCCATATCCTCGCCACCCCCCACCGCCGCACACCACGGCTCCTTAGGCATCCCTCCTTCTGGCTCACAGCAACAGTTCCATGGGCATCAGGGTCCCGAGCAGGCAGCCAGCATAGCCCACCCACAACGGGGGCTACTAAACGGGGCGAGACGACACCACACACAGCTCGCTAGCCCCCACTGTTGGCTTAGCGCTCCCTCCCTCTCTGTTTCTCCCTCCCTCACTCTCTCTCTGTCTTTCTCTCTCTCTCTCCTCTCCGTCTTAGCGCACGCTGTTGCTTGCTGCTCACAATCCTACAACGGCATCAGCAGCATCGGCAGTTTGCAGCAGCAGCAGCTAAATTTACAGCAGTGGTAGCAGCAATTGTAGCTAAAGCAATCGCAGCAACAGTGTTATATACAGGAGCAGCAGTAATTGCAGCAGCAGCAGCAGGAGAAGGAGGAGGAGCGTCTACAGCAATAATAGCAGCGGCAATATCAGCAGCAGCGGCTGCGGCGGCGGCGGCGTCGGCAGCGTCTGCAACAGGCGACACACAGCAGAAACAGCAGCAGTGAGCCCATTTGCTTTGGATGTGCCAGGCCAACTGTCCCCATGATCAGCTCGGTGTGCGTCTCCACGTACCGGGGCCGCCCTGGGGGTAACAAGCCCTTTAGCAAGGCGGTGCTGAAGGTAAGACGACGACTGTCATCATCATCATCCTCCTCCTCCGCGTGTGCACGTGCAGCACTTGCCCCCCCCCCAACCGTCTGCGAAGGCTATCCGGGGGATCTTTGTCTTTGTACGCGTGCGTGCGTGAGTGGCATTCATAGGTGGTGGGCTCGCTAACAGCACTTGCCCGCAACAGTATGTTAAGGCTATACGGGGGATCTTTGTCTTGGTGCGTGTACGTGCGTGAGTGGTGCTACTCGCTAACAGCACTTGCCCCCACAGTCTGTTAAAGGCTACACGGGGGAACTTTGTCTTTTGGGTAGCGGTAGTGTAGCGGTTAGCGCGCTGCGCTCCGTAAGCCGGACACCCGAGTTCGATTCCCCGGTCCTGGGCGTCCCCTAGGTCGACTCAGCCTCAAATGAGTACCTGACGTGGTGTGTAAACGGCAGCATTGGGGTGAGACAAAGGCGGCCGGGCGTGGCGGTGGCCACCCACCCTCCTCGCGTGCAGTGCCGACCTTCATAGGTGCTCGCTAACAGCACTTGTCCCAACAGTCTGTTAAAGGCTACACGGGGGGATGTTTGCGAATGGAAATGCTTATTATGCGTGGCCATGTGAGTGTGTGTATGGAAATGCGTGAGTGTTGTGTGCGTATATGCTCATATTCCTGTACGTGTTTGTGCGTGCGTCGTAAGGAGGAAGGGACGCTCTGGCATTGTAGTTAATTAGCGCACTGCGCTAAGAATTCAATTCCCGGCCAACATCCGGGGCGATTATCCTGAGCTAGTCCTGAGCGGCCCCTCTGCTCGGTCGACGGAGTACCTGTTGCAATTGCGCAAACATTAGCGCTGGGAAGACAAAGGCGGCCGGGCGTGGTGCTAACCACACATATGGGCTCGCTAACAACACTTGCCCCCAGCAATCCATTGGAGGCGAGACCACTGTTGCGCAGTGGACGACCTCGGACGGCTGGGTTCAATTGCCGACCCTCGGCTCACGGCAGTGGCGAATTATCTGAACCGCTCGTGGGCCTCCCCTAGGTCGACTCGGCCTTAAATAAAAGGCCCGAGGGAGATAAAGACGGCCGGGCGTGCAGAGCTGACCCGTCCTTGGGCCGACGTGAATAGGTTATCGCAAGCAGCCCTTGCCCCAACAGCCTATGCAGGCTTCACCGGGGGACCTTTGCCTGTGTATGGGTGTACTGTATGTGTCTATGAATATTGTACATGTGTGTTGTGCAACATGTAACACCACGTGGATGTGTATACTATGTATATATGTGTGCGCGCGCGCGTGCACGTGTTGTGTATGCGCTTTGTGTGGGGAGAGTGGTTAGCGCTACGCTGCGCTACGAACCCTGCGACCGGAGTTCCATTCGCGCTCACGGTCACCGAAACTAGTGACGATTTATCTGAACCGGTCATGGGCCTCCCCTGGGTCGACTCGGCCTCAAATGAATACCTGCTGCCATGTGTAAAAATCGCCACTGGGGGAGACAAAGGCGGACGGGCGTGGTGCTGGCCACCCACCCCCTCGTGTGCCGTTCCCGCCTTCATAGGTGCTCACTAACAGCACTTGCCCCTACAGTCTATGAAGGCTACACGGGGGATCTTTGTCTTCGTATGCGCTAGTACACCGAGCCTGGCACAAAGCGCTGCTGTGACGTCACCGTCGCTTACTGACGAATGGCGACTGATTGCAAGCACGCGCACAACGCACACACGTGCACACACACACATACACGTGTGTGTGTGTGTGCACGTGTGTGTGTGCGCACGTGTGTGTGTGCGTGATCTGTGTAATGCATTTGGGGAGCGGTAGGGTTAGCGGTGAGCGCAACGCTGCGCTACGAACCAAGCGGGCCCGAGTTCGACTCCCGCTCACGGCCACCAACACCCAGTGACGATTATCTGAACCTGTCATGGTGCCTCGCCCCCTCTAGGTGAACTCAGCCTCAAATGAGTACCTGGCGCGGTGTGTAAACATCGCCACTGGGGAGACAAAGGCGGTCGGGCGTGGTGCTGGCCACCCACCCCCTCGTGTGCTGTGCCCGAACCTTCACAGCAGCACGCTAGCAGCACTTGCCCCCAAAGGTCTGTTGAGGCTATACCGGGGTGATGGAATCTTTGTCTTGTCACTGCATCCCCTCCACCCGCCATGGTGGAGCCCCCCCCGCCACCTCCTCCTCGCGTGTGACGACCCCCCAGGTAACCCCCCCACTCCCGACACCTACAGCCCCCCCACCTCCACCCCCCCCCCCCCCCAATCTCCGGTCAATCAGAACGCTGGGAACAGGCTCCTATTGGTTGTTGTTGGTGTTGTATCATCACACCAGCAAGCCCGCAGTGTCCGTCCGCCCCTCCAAGCAGGCAGCCGGCCGGCCGGCCAGCCAGCAAAACTTTTTTTGCCGGAAATTCAGCTCAATGAAGCGCTAGGGCAAAAATTGTAATCGGCTAAAATGTCTTGCAGGGTCACTTGGGAGCCCTGTTCCACCACTGGGGGCTGCCACCGGGAATTCAAACCCAGGGTGTCGGTGGTTGACGGCCCCGGTGCTCTGAACTTGCGAGTGACCTCGCCCCCGGTCCGATCCAGGTTGCAATGGACAGCGGATTTGTGTGCCGATACACGGAGGGTGAAGGGAGGGAGCGTGGGTGGGGAAAGGTGGGGGGGGGGAAGGTGGGGGGGGGAAGGTGGGGGGGGCGTGACGCAAGCACGCACCCACCCCTGATTCAACGCTGCGTGATGCGGGTGACGTCATCGCGCGGTATGTTGCGCGGTGACGTCACTCCGCGTACGTGCCACGTGCGCGCCACACAACAAGTAAAACTTGTTTTATATTAACAGGGTTTTTTTGTTAGATCGTGTAAATATACATTTGTCGTTAAAACCTTGCTTTCTAATACGTGTAGCATCATGATGACGATGCATCGTATGAGTTTATGATCATGCGTTCATTATTGCGTATGGGGCCGTCCACAAATGACGTCACGCACCTGGGGGGGGTCAGACATTTGTGACGATGTGTGACGAGGGGGGGGGTGAGAAATGTGACGTCACATCAAAATGCGCAACTTTAAATAAATATAGAAATGTCATGACAACACTCCTACAACATCAGAGTGCAGCGCCACATTAAATACGCACTACAATGACAATAGTTTAAAGCGATTTGAAGCATGGTTTATTTTCAAAATGGAAATATGGTTTTGAGGGGAGGGGGGGGGGGCAGAGCTTTGTGACGTCATATTTGAGGGGGGGGGTCTGACTTTTTATGACGCCGTGTGACGAGGGGGGGGGGGCAAAATTCGTCCAAAATCGCGTGACGTCATTTATGGACTGCCCCTAAGGTGTGTACGTTAGTGTGTGTGTATGTGTGTGTGTGATATCCATCATTATTATGATATGTTTACCCAGGCAAGCCTGTTTCTCACTCAGAAGGGTCCTGTTACATTTGAGATGTTCGGCTGTGAATTGAGAGCTTGGCTCCGTGTGAAAGCCCAACATACATACGATGGGACATCACGCTCAGATATCCGCACAGATGGATTCAATAATCAATCCATTGCTCTAATGGCGTCTGCCAACCTACCATCTCTGTCCTGATTATGATCTTATTATAACCGCAGCAGCAGCAATGATAATAATAATGGTGCTGAGGATAATGACACTGGTGGTGGTGATGATGATGTTACCGAAATGTGGTTGATAATGAGATGGATTCAAGGATCCATTCGCTGTTGCTGCCACCTCCTGAATGGGCAGCCTGAGACCTGCGTAGGTGCTTGGAGCCACCAATCCGGTGACCAGCATCCGAGTCGGTCCTGGGCCTCCTCTAGGTCGACTCGGCCTCGAATGCATTGGTGAGACAAAGGCGGCCGGCCGTGGTGCTGATCGCCACCCCCACCCAATCGCGTGCCACGGACGGTCTCCGAAAGTTTCCGTTAAGGCTATAAGGGGGATCTTTACAAGGTCGTAGTTATAATATATATTGGGGGGGGGGGGGGACATACATCCTCCACCTCCCAATATTCAAATATGTTCAAAATGTCCCCTCCAATATATTGCTATAAAATATATTTATGTTTATATGTGTGGCTATGGGTTGTTACTTTATAAATCCTTAATCTCTGCCATTACATACAATGAAACAAGAAAAGGTATAAAAAAACAGAAAAAAACCAGAGCAATGTGATACAATACACTATTAGACATTATTCTTAAATAAAACTCCATCCTATGTGTTAATGATGTTTGGAAAATATTTTAGGCAGGAAATTAGTTTTAAAATTTAGATTTTTTTTCTGGGGTGGGTGGGGGGGGGACCCCCAGACCCCCTGGAAGATTTGGTCCCCCCCAATGTTGAGTCCATGGCTACGGTCTTGGATCTTTGTATACATTCGTCTCTGCAGACCGATAAACACAGACACACACACGTGTGTGTGTGTGTGTCTGTACCTGTACTGCGCACCTGTTAACTGGCGTACTCACACAATACGACGTACACAACAGGTATGTGTATAATGTATATGCGTGTGTATCCGCTTGTGTTGATGCGTTTATGTACCTAGGCTGGCACAATCGCTATAGTGTAAGTGTGGGTCGTTGTAAGGTGTAGGTGTGGGGTCATTGTACAGTGTAGGTGTGGGGTCATTGTACAGTATAGGTGTGGGTCGTTGTACAGTGTAGGTGTGGGGTCATTGTACAGTGTATGTGTGGGGTCATTGTACAGTGTAGGTGTGTAGGTATGGGTCATTGTACAGTGTAGGTGTGGATCGTTGTACAGTGTAGGTGTGTAGGTATGGGTCATTGTACAGTGTAGGTGTGTAGGTATGGGTCATTGTACAGTGTAGGTGTGGACCATTGTACAGTGTAGGTGTGGGTCATTGTACAGTGTAGGTGTGGGTCATTGTACAGTGCGGGTGTGGGTCATTGTACAGTGTAGGTGTGGGTCGTTGTACAGTGTATGTGTGGGGTCATTGTACAGTGTAGGTGTGGGTCATCGTACAGTGTAGGTGTGGGTC